CTCCTCTCCTCTCCTCTCCCCTCCCTCCTCTCCTCTCCCTCCTCTCCTCTCCCTCCTCTCCTCTCCTCTCCCCTCCCTCCTCTCCCCTCCCTCCTCTCCTCTCCCTCCTCTCCTCTCCTCTCCTCTCCTCTCCTCTCTTCTCCTCCCCTCCCCTCCCCTCCTCTCCTCTTTTCTCCTTTCCTCTCTGTCTGTCTTTCTGTCTTCCTTTCTTTTTGTATTCATTTACTGAGACAGAGTTTCAAGGCAGGTTTGTTAGGAAGCTGCTCTCAGGCGGGCAAGTTCTCTGCCCCCAAGGATTGAGGCCAGGGGAGTTACCATGGGGAAGTGGGGGTGTGGGGAGGGAGAAAGAGAGGAAAGGCACCCATGAAGAGAGAAGAAAAGGAGAAGGAGGAAGAGGGAGAGAAAGAGGAGGAGGAAGAGGAGGAGGAGAAGGAGGAGGAGGAAGAAGAGGAAGAGAGAGCAAAGGAAAGAGAGAGAAAGAGAGAGAGCAAGCACAAGGGAGAGAAATGTCTGGATTATATAGGGAAGAGACTGGGGGGGGGGGGAACAGCAGCCCAGCCCCTGGGCTGGAAAGTTCAGGGTTGGGGCCAGGGTATGCCAGGTAGGAACTGAGAGGATGCTGGGAGAACCTGGAGGTCTGGTCCACTTTGATATGTAAAATATGCACCTCAATTCCTAGTCTCCAGACCCCGGCCTCTGCCTCCCAAGTGCTGGGATTAAAGGTGTGTGCCACCATACCTACCTCCAAAGGTGCTGATAAGAGGAGAAGAATAGTAGGGGTTGGAGAGAGGCTACAGTGGTTAAGAGCAATGGCTACTTTTACAAAGGGTCAGAGTTTGATCTCCAGCACCCACATGGTACCTCACCATGGTCAGCAACTCCAGTCCCAGGGGATCTGATGCCCTCTTTTGGCCTCCAAGTATGACTGCACACCTGTGGTGGTACAGATACATATACTCAGGCACCAATGCAAACACACATGTACAATAAAAGAAAGAAATGTATCTTTAAAAACATAACTGAAAGAATAACTTGAAGTCATGTCAGTTGTCAAGGACATACAGAAGTGAATTTGCGCCCCGTTCATTGCATCATATTGAGAAGCACTGTTAAGGCCGGCAAGACGGCTGCTCTCTCAGGAGGCAAAGACACTTGCTACTAAGCCTGACCTGATGACCTGAGTCCCAGCTTGAGGACTCACATAACAGAAGGCTAGGAACAACTTCTGACAGCTGTTTAAAAAAACAAAACAAAACAAAACAAAAAAAACGAAAACAGCCAAACAGCCGGGCAGTGGTGGCTTTAATCCCAGCACTTGGGAGGCAGAGGCAGGCAGATCTCTGAGTTCAAGGCCAGCGTGGTCTACAGAGTGAGTTCCAGGACAGCCAGGGCTACACAGAGAAACCCTGTCTTGAAAAACAAAACAAAACAAAACAAAACAAAACAAAACAAAACAAACACCCTAACAAAAAAACAACAAAACCCCCAAAACAAAAAAAGACAATCAAAACAAAACAAACAAACAAACAAACAAAAACCACCAGAGCATGTATTAATGCACATACACACAAATAAATAAATAAATAATTTTTTTTCCAAAGGGGAGGGAATTTATTCAGGGCAGAGGGCAAAGGTGGGGAGAGAAACAAGAAGATGTTGGAGAAAGAGGAGAGAGACAGGAGAGAAGTGGAGGCCGGCCATGACCACATGGAGAGAGGGGGAAGGGAAGGGAGGAAGGGCGAGGGGACAGAGAGAAGCTAGAGGTAAGAGTGTAAGAGCAAAAAATGTTTTTAAAAAGAAGAACTTGCTCATTTCTGGTGATTGATATTTCTTACCTCTAAAGGTATTATTTCCTTCTTGTAGTATTAAGCATCTTGTGGAGAGGTTTAAAAGTCATTATCAAGGATGGATGTGGTGGTGTATGCCTTTAAATATATATGTAATGTTTTGTTTTCCGGTATGTCCATGCACTTGTGTGCCTGATGACGGGAGGCTAGAAGGAGTCGAATCCCCTGAGACTTGAATTACAGATGGTTGTGAGACTGGGTACTGTGGGTACTGGGAATTGAACCTGAGTCATCTAGAAAAGCTATGCTCTTAACCCCTGATCCAACTCTTCCAGCGCTGTGGGGAGATATTTTGATACAAGGTTATATATTTTTAGGTGAAGGGTAGATGGGCAGAAATAGGATAATCAAATATAAATAATCAAATATAAATAAAACAATAACTGAAACCGGGCGGTGGTGGCGCACGCCTTTAATCCCAGCACTTGGGAGGCAGAGGCAGGCGGATTTCTGAGTTCGAGGCCAGCTTGGTCTACAGAGGGAGTTCCAGGACAGCCAGGGCTACACAGAGAAACCCTGTCTGGAAAAACCAAAAAATAAATAAATAAATAAATAACTGAAGGGCCCAGCGGTATTTGAGGTGTCAGTAAATGTGAGGTATCAGAGTGAACAAATTCTAGGCTGTCTTCCAAAACTTGACATGTAAGTTGTCTAAACACGGTTGGCGATGGTGCGCTGCTGAATAAAGTCTTCAAGAAGAGATCTGTGGTTCCAGGATGATTTTTCTCTGACAGCGCCACCTAGGAAAGTGTCGGACTAAGGCTGCATCTCCTTAGCGAAAACACACCTGCGAAGAAGGCCGCTCAGGTGATCCACCCTCAGAGTGCGCAGGCGCACGGAGGGGCGGCATGGGGCGTGGCCGCGGCGCAGGGGCGTGGCCGTAGCGCGCAGGCGTCCTAGTGGCGGGTGTCTGCGTCTCAGGATGGAGGGTGAGTGAGTAAACAAGCCGGGGCTGGCGGTGGGGCCGGGCCTCCGCACTGCATGGCGCTAGAACCTCAGGGCCGGGGAGACGAAGAGATGAGGAAACTGATGAGGGGAAGCTGAGGGCCACACCATTGCCTGACCCGGGGTAGCGCGAAGGGTGCTGTCCCGAGTGTTCTGGGACCCGGGACGAGGGCGCGTGCGATCTGCGGGGGGCCGCGTGGCGAGGGGGCGCGGTGGGGGCGGGCCCGGCTCGTGTCCCTTGCAAGCGTGTGGGCCTTGGCGTCTGCAGGGGACCCTGACTCTTGTAAGCTGGTGAGCCAGAGGCCCGGGTCGAGCTTGCGGAGCCTTTGGGTGATGTTGAGGAAGGGGTGGTCAGGCCGAGATGACGGCGAAGTGAGCGGGGTTCTCAAGTGTAAGGGTCAGGCTCCCAGGGTCGCACGGCACCTCCCCAACATTTTGCTCCCGGAGCTTGTCGCTTATCTAACTTGCTTCACTTTAGTTCCGGGTTTGAGTGAGGATTCATCTTCAAACTGTGACTGTCTCTCATGTCCCCGGAATTCTCTGGCGGGAAAAAAAAAAAGATACACAAATGAACGCGTCCTGAAGTAAAAGGAAAGGTGCTATATTTGGGACATAACTTGTCCGGAAGTAAACGTGAAACAAAAACTTTAAAAGAATTTTTAAGATTTAGTTTTTTTTTTTTTTTTTTTTTTTAAATGTGAGTGCACTCTATGTGTGGCTGGTTCCAGGGGCATAGAATCCCCTGGTACTAGAGGTAAGGATGGTTATGTGCCACCATGTCGGTGCAGGGAACTAAACCAGTCCTTGTTCTTTGCAAGAGCAACAAGTGTTCTTAACCGCTGAGCAGGCTTTCCAGCCCTTGGGGATGAGCTTATTTTGGTCCAAGTGATCATTGAGAAGATGTAGGTGGTAGGGCACAAGGAAGAGAATGGATATAGATGGAGGTTAGTGTCGGGGGATGGGTAAACCGAGTATCCAAAGTATGAAACCTATGGCTTGGGGAAAAGAGTCAAGGATCACACATGTACAAGGACGACATTGAAGATGTAGAGGTTTTTTGGGTACACTTGCTACATGATATCTCAGAATAAGAAATCTCCAACCCAGTGGATTTTGTTTTTGGTATCTACATAGTCCCTGACTGTCTTTGAACTCTCCCCGTAGACCAGGCAGGCCTTGAACTTACATGATCCTCAGGCCTCTGCCTCAGGAATGTTAGAGTTGAAAGGTGTGGCCCACCCTCTACCCAAAGATTTTAAGATAAGGAAAAGGCCTTTAATGTTTTTCCAGCCTTCGAGGGTTTGACCTCTGCCCCAGGCTTTTGATTTTTGAGAAACCTGTTTTCAGCCTTGGAGACCCAGTTGCGTCACTTGAAAGGGCTGACAGTAGGTGTGAATGTAAGCCAGGAGAGAAGAACTTGATCACATAAACATGAAATCAGGTTGTGATGCTGCAGGCATCCAATCCCAGAACTTGGTTAATGGAATTAGGAGGCTTAGGAGTTCAAGGCCAGCCTGAATGAAACCTGGCCTAAATGAAACCTTGTGTCAAAACAACCACAAAAGTATGTAAACATGGAAGGAAGAACCATCTGTAAAAATGCAACATGTACTGGGATGTGGTGCACAAGCCCTTCTAGAGCTTTATATGTTATTTTCTGACTCATTTATTCTAATACTTGTATGTCTAGCTGAAAAATCTTGTTTTTATTAAATGATAATGGATAGTCCCTAACAGAACTTGACACTGACGTAGCTCATACTCGCTGAGGCAGGGCCCTGCCTGTGGTGGCTGTAGCTCTTCTCCGTCAGCGTGGTACATCTCCAAGGCAGCACTTTCCTCAGTTCCTGGAAATTAAAATAAAAACATCCACCACCCCCCTCGAAAGCTAAACCTTTGCTTTTTGTCACTCTTGTCTGCAGTGGAAATGACCTGGTTCTATTGAACACTAGGAAATATTCGAGTTAGAGTTCTTTAGTTAAGATACTGGTTCCCAGCAACCCAGGCGAGGTGGTATGCGTTTGTAATTCAGGTACTAGGGAGGTAGAGGTAGGAGGTTCAGTAGTTCAAGGTCAGCCTTGACTGCCTAGCAAACTTGAGGCAAGGGTGATAGAATGCATGAGATCCTGGCATTTGGTGGTTTGGACCCTGGCTGTCCTAGAACTCACTGTAGACTAGGTTGGCTGCAAACTCAAGAGATCTGCCTGCCTCTGCCTCCTGAGTGCTGGGATTAAAGGTGTGTACTGACCTACACCCAGTTGGAGATCCTGTTTTTTTTTTTGTTATTTTTGTTTTTGTTTTTTTGGTTTTTTCGAGACAGGGTTTCTCTGTGTAGTCCTGGCTGTCCTAGAACTAACTCTGTAGACCAGGCTGGCCTCGAACTCAGAAATCCGCCTGCCTCTGCCTCCCAAGTGCTGGGATTAAAGGCGTGCGCCACCACCACCCGGCCTGTTTTTTTTTTTAAAAAGTCACAATAGAGGCCTGTTGTGGTCGGAAACTAAACCTGTGATATGTAAATATTTTGGAGAAGTAGGTGGAAATCTTGTTGTCCAGTCTTTTTTTTTTTTTTTTGGTTTTTCGAGACAGGGTTTCTCTGTGTAGCCCTGGCTGTCCTGGAACTCCCTCTGTAGACCAGGCTGGCCTCGAACTCAGAAATCCGCCTGCCTCTGCCTCCCAAGTGCTGGGATTAAAGGCATGCGCCACCACTGCCCGGCATTGTCCAGTCTTTTAACCTTACTACCTGACATTACCATCTACTTTGTGTTTGTTGGGTTGCAAATGACTTGTGGGCTGCTGATTGGACGTACCTGGTTGAATGCAAAATGTGTCTACTCTCTTAATTGTGTTCCTTGTCCCATGGTTGATTCTAATACAAAGTTGATGAAATGAGAACAATGACTCCATTTTATAAGTTTTTCTTTAAGATTTATTTTATGTATGTGAATACACTGTAGCTGTCTTCAGACACATCAGAAGAGGGCATCACAGATGGTTGTGAGCCACCTCGTGGTTGCTGGGAATTGAACTCAGGACCTCTGGAAGAGCAGTCATCTTAACCACTGAGCCATCTCTCCAGCCCCCATTTTCTATATCTTATGTCTGTAGTTTAGCCCTACTTCCCACTTCTATTATGAATTAAGGGAGAGACAACACTGGGCTGGGGAGATGGCTCACCTGTTAAAGGGTGTTTGTAGAGGATGCTGATTTGGCTCCCAGGACCCACATGGCCCATAACCCCGGTTCTAGGGAATCTGACTGATGTCAGCCTCTCAACTCTGAGGGCACTGCCCCTTCCACGGCATGCATGCATGCGTGCGTGCGTGCGTGCATGCATGCATGTAGACCAAAACACTGACATAAAATAAATCTGAAAATAAATTTTAATTAAAATAATAAAACAAGATGGGAAAATTAAGAAGCTATGGTGCCACATGGCTCTGAAGCTTTTCTTACTTTGCTTACTAACTAGATTATTAAGTAGTGGAGGACCAGGTGTGGTCTTTGTATGTCTGTGTATGTGGGGTATGTGTGTGTGTAGGGGAGTGTTTTCATTTTTCTATGGCAGGTTTTGTGGTAAGCATATGCTGTACTTTGCTTCTAGTTTTTCTTTGTGTGCACACATGAGGTCAGAAAATTAACTTTCAGGAGTAGTTTCTCTCCACCATGTGGGTATCAGGGCTGGAACTCAGGTTGTCAGGCTTGGCAGCAAGAACCTTTACTCAAATTTCACATTCTCACCTGCAGTGTGAGGGTTCTGTTTGCTTTGCTTCACATACCCATTTATAATTAATTTTATCAGCCTTTTCTAAGTTAGCCATACTAGTGAGTATACCTAAAATCCCATTATTTTTGAAATTTATTTATTTATTTATTTATTTATTTATTTTGGTTTTTCGAGACAGGGTTTCTCTTTATAGCCCGGGCTGTCCTGGAACTCAGTTTGTAGACCAGGCTGGCCTTGAACTCAGAAATCCACCTGCCTCTGCCTCCCGAGAGCTGGGATTAAAGGCGTGCGCCACCACCGCCCGGCTTGAATTTGATTTTTAATTGCTTAAACATACATGTGAGTGCATTATCCTTTGAGGCCAGAAGAGGGTGGCAGATCTGCCAGAGTTAGAGGTGGCTGGGAGCTGAACTCAGGTCTTCTGGAAGAACAGCAAGTGGTCTTAGTCACTGAGCCATCTCTTTAGCCCCTTATTGTCTTTAATTTGCATTTTTCCAGTGAGTCCTTTATGATCTGTTTGACATGGCTGTTCTTTATTGAGCTGTTTTTGTCGAGCTGAAGTTAATTAATTATATGAAGACTTAAGCCCCAAATAGTATGTTTTGGGGTGTCTTCAGTGTACAATGACCATGATGGAAGGCTTCTAATACTTAACTGAAATGTAAGTGCTGATAAAAAAAATGGTTATAGAAACAATGTTTTCTATGTACCACCTCTTATGCCTGAGATCGGTGACCCCATTTTTCTCCAAGCCTGTTCCGATGCTCAATTGTTTGTTTGCTTTTTTTCTTGACTTTGTTGTGATAATCATTTAGTGGGATCCAGCTGCTGCTATGCTATTATGTATCTGTACTTAAGTGTTTTGTTTTTTAAATTTTATTTTATTTTTTTTGTTTTTCGAGACAGGGTTTCTCTGTGTAGTCCTGGCTGTCCTGGAACTCACTCTGTAGACCAGGCTGGCCTCGAACTCAGAAATCCGCCTGCCTCTGCCTCCCAAGTGCTGGGATTAAATTAAAGGCGTGCGCCACCACCACCCGGCTTAAATTTTATTCTTATTTAGTGTGTATATGAGTGCTTTGCCTGGTAGTAGGGGTGTCCAAGAAGGGCGTCAGAGCTTCTTGGATTGGATCTACATATGGTTGTGAGTTGCCATGTGGGTTCTGGGAATAGAACTCAGGTCCTCTTCAACAGCATACAATGCTTTTAGCTGATGAATCATCTCTCCAGCCCTTTCAAGTGTTTTTAAAAATCATGTCTTCCTGTTTCTACAGAGTCTTTTCATTTCTTTCTACATTCTGTGAGAAATCATCTGCCAAATAAACTTTTAGAGACATAGAGGGCGAATCAAAACGCGAAGTGTGACAAATAGTATGTCTTGTGGACAGGCAAGATTCACATACCACTTAAATTGTAAGAAGAGGAAGTGTGCTTTATTTTGCATTGTGACTAGTTGAAATGCTAGGACATTTTTTATGTGCATGTGTATACTCCTTGCCAAATAAAACACTTGAAAAAAATTCAACATGGTACCATTAATCGTTGGATTGTTTTCTTACTGTCATCTCCCAACAAAGTGTTTGGAGGAGACTCTAATGAAACTTCTGGCATTTCTATGCTACCATTTCCTCTAGGAACTCCAGACACACACCACCACTACCACAGCCATTGCTCTCTCTTACCCTCACCCCCTGACCACCACAGCCAGCCCTCCATCCTCTCCTCACCACAGCCAGCACTCCTACTCTTAAGTACTGGGAGCAGCTATCAGTTGAGTAAGTTTTCCCAGTTTCAGTTGGATAGAGCAATCAGTTCTGAGCTTACTGTTTCAAAACATGGAACATTTCTGTAGTCCTTGCACTTGCGAGGCTGCTTCAGAATGATCTTGAGTTCAAAACCAGCCTGGACTATACAGCATGACCTGTTTAAAAATTTTAAAAAACAATAAACAAAAAGATGAGGTGTGTGTATGGGAAGGGAGGAGAGGTGGGTGAGGAGTAAGCAGAGAAAACTTTTGTTAAAGAAGGCTATAGAGTCTACTTAAACTGGAGCTTGCATTCAGGTCATGTGGGTCTCGGTAAACATAGCCTAAGGTTTCTGAGGTAGCCAGTCCTGTTTGTGGTTGGAAGTACTTCTTCATTTCCTGGAGTAGGCTTATTCAGTTTGTTCAGGGCAGAAGTGATAAGAGCAGAAGCCATGTGTAATGTATAATCACTGTACTTGGGAGGTGAGGGCAGGAGGATCAGGAATTTTTTTTTTTTTTTTGGTTTTTGGAGACAGGGTTTCTCTGTGTAGCCCTGGCTGTCCTGGAACTCACTCTGTAGACCAGGCTAGCCTCAAACTCTCAAACTCAGAAATCCACCTGCCTCTGCCTCCCAAGTGCTGGGATTAAAGGTGTGCACCACCACCGCCCCGCTTGAGGATCAGGAATTCAAAGTCACCTTTTACTACATAGGGAGTTCAAGGACAACCCATGCTGTGCTGCACTAGTCTGTCTCAAAAAACAAACAAGCAGACCAGCGTAGGATGCTAACGGTTGAGAGCCAGGCAGTCAGCGTGTCCTGAAGTAAATGACTTAAGAAATTAAATGCTGAGCCGGGCGGTGGTGGCGCACGCCTTTAATCCCAGCACTTGGGAGGCAGAGGCAGGCGGATTTCTGAGTTCGAGAGTTCGAGGCTAGCCTGGTCTACAGAGTGAGTTCCAGGACAGCCAGGGCTACTCAGAGAAACCCTGTCTCGAAAAACCAAAAAAAAAAAAAAAAAAAAAAAAAAAAAAAAAAAAAAAAAAAAAAAGAAATTAAATGCTGTAGATTTCAGATGGGGAACTCTGAAGTTATCAATTATGTCCATGACTCAAATGGATATAAAAGAAGCTGAGTTTGAAAACTGTGGGCTGTTAGTTCATTGACACATGCCTCTTTAATCTCCCTCCTCAGGAGGTAGACAGATCTGATTTCAAGGCCAGCCTGGTCCACATAGTATATTCCAGGCCAACCAGAGCTACAAGAAACCCTCTCTCAAGCAACAAAACTAAATAAAAAGATGATTTTGAAAAATCTAGAACTTTAGCTTTAGGGGACTTACAGTGGACTTTATGGGCAGTGAAAAAACCTACAACATGTAAAATCCATAAACAAAAATTTATTGGCTCTAAATTTTGCCTGTGGCTAGAGAGATGCTTGTGGCTCTTCCAGAGGATATGAGTGTGGTTCCCAGCACTCCCATTGGGTAGCTTACCATTACCTGTGACTCCAGTACAGGGAATCCAAAATTTCTTGTTCCTACAGGGACCCTTACACCTGTGAAATATATGCACATAGACACATAAAAATAATTCTTTTTTTTTTGAGACAGGGTTTTTCTGTATGGCCCTGGCTGGCCTCGAACTCAGAAATCCGCCTGTCTCTGCCTCCCAAGTCTGGGATTAAAGGCGTTCGCCACCACCGCCTGGCTAATAAAAATAATTCTTAAGAGGCTTAGTGATTTAGAACTCTAGCAGGACTTTTGGAGGACCTGAATTCAGTCACCTGTACACAAGCCAGGCTCACAAACACCTATAACTCCAGTTCGAGGGGATATGTGTGCTTCTTTCCAGTCTCTGTGGATACCACATATACATGCACAGTGCCCCCCCCATTTAAAAATAAATAGGTAAGTATTTTAAAGTTAAAATTTCCTATATATGCCAGTCAGTGGTGGCACACGCCTTTAATCCCAGCAGGCAGAGTCAGGCAGATTTCTGAGTTTGAGGCCAGCCTGGTCTACAGAGTGAGTTCCAGGACAGCCAGGGCTACACAGAGAAACTCTGTCTGAATAAACAAAAAAAAAAAATCCTATATACATAAAATATTAGAATAGTTGATAATAACTACATATTTTGGTACACACCTTTAATCATAGCACTTTTTTTTCAAATGTATTTTTTGAGACCGTGTCCAGAGTGAGCTCCAGGTAGCAAGGTTGACCTTTCACCTTAGGCTTCCTTGCTTCACAAAGATGGATGTGGTAGTGGACACCTAAAATACTAGTACTTTAGAAACTAAGGCAGGAGAATCAAGAGTTCAAGGCCAATGGAGATGATATAAGATTCTGTATCAAAAAGGCATGTATACGCACACAGTCTGAAACTTCTTGTTTCTGTTTTGAATTTTAGCTTTTTATGGCCCCTTGAAATGATTTTTGAAACTTAAAATGTTTGACTAAGTTAATAGAAGTAGTTCTCAGGACTCGAGAGATGGCACAGAAGTTCAGAGCGCTGGCTGCTGTTTCAGTTTGGATTCCCAGCACCTACACACTGTCTCACAATCCCCTGCAGTCACGGGATCTGATATACCTTCTTCTGGTTTCTGTGGATACTACACATACATGATGCATATACATATTTGTAGGCAAAACACTCATACACATAAAATGTAAATACAATTAAAAGAAATAGGTCTCTAGCAAGCTAGTTAGTGCAGAGTAAAACTAGATTTTATTGACTTGTGTATATATTTAATGTTTTAGGCCTACCTGCTGGCTAAGCTTAGAAATTGGGTAAGGAAAGAAGCTTGGTGATTGTTGGAATCTACTTGATTGGAAGGTTTGCATTTTTTCTTAATTAAGAAAATATTCATTGTATTACTGTATGTGTGTAGTGGTTTTGCCTGCCTGCATGTGTGCTAGTGTGTATGTGGTGCCTGTGGAAGTCCTCTGCCAGAGCAGCAAGTGCTCTGTTTCGGAGCTACCTCTCTAGCCCTAGAGGCATAAGATTTTGAAAGTAACTTTCTTTTCTTTTTTAAAAGATATTTATGTATATGAGTATACTGTTGCTGTCCTCAGACACACCAGAAGAGGGCATTAGATCCCATTACAGATGGTTGTGAGCCATTATGTGGTTGCTGGGAATTTAACTCAGGACCTCTGGAAGAGCAGTCAGTGCTCTTAACCACTGAGCCATCTTTTCAGTCCTGAAAGCAACTTTCTAAATAGTGTTAAGCATCTATGAGGCCTGACTTAATATGTAAAATGGTAACAGACCCTAAAGTTTTCTGGTTCTGGGGAAGCATCCTGCTCAGAGGCTCGATATTTGAGCATGCTGACTGATTCAATAAACCCATTTTTTATTATCATGAAAAGCTGAACACTTCTTTTTACCCTTAGGTCTTGCCATTCATCTGAAGAACAGAGGTACATTATAAAGTGCAACATATCCTGCTGCATTCCGTGAGGTAAGTAGAGCATATCACAGTAAATTCTCTAAATTTTCAGATGTAATTCAACCCCACCCCCAAAAGAAATTCACAGTGTGGTCAGTGTCCGTAGGTCTGCTGCTGACGTGGAGGTGAGATTGTGAGTTTAAACCTCTTGGGGCTGGAGGGATGACTCAGGAAAGAGCACTGGCTGCTCTTTAAGAGGATCAAGTTTCAATTCCTAGCACCTATATGGCTGCTCCCAACTGTCTGTAACTCCAGTTCCAGGGGATCTGTATCCTCATACAGACCCAACAACAGTGCACAGAAGAAGTGCATGAATGAATGAATGGATGGATGAATCATTAAAAAAATCTTTCTCCTTTTTTTTTTTTCCGAGACATCTTTCTCCTTTTTAAAAGATGTATATTTTTATTTATGAATATGGGTGTTTTGCCTGCATAAATGTCTGTGTGTCATGTGCATATAGTGCCCGAGGAGGCAGGAGGAGGGTGTTGGATCCTCTGGGACTGGCATTAGAGGTAGTGAGTTATTAGAGATAGTGAGTTGTGCCGGGCAGTGGTGGCGCATGCCTTTAATCCCAGCACTTCGGAGGCAGAGGCAGGCGGATTTCTGAGTTCGAGGCCAGCCTGGTCTACAGAGTGAGTTCCAGGACAGCCGGGGCTACACAGAGAAACCCTGTCTCGAAAAAAACTAAAAAAAAAAAAAAGAGATAGTGAGTTGTGCTTGCAGCTCTTCTGGAGGAATTAGGTTTAGCTGCAGCATTCATGTTGGACTTGTGACTTCAGCGAGGTTTGAATACTCTAAAAAACTCAGCTCTAGCACATGCACAGATAGATACACATGTACTTGTAATTAAAGATAATAAAGATATGCCGGGCGGTGGTGGCACACACCTTTAATCCCAGCACTTGGGAGGCAGAGGCAGGCAGATTTCTGAGTTCTCGGCCTGCCTGGTCTACAGAGTGAGTTCTAGGACAGCCAGGGCTGCACAGAGAAAGAAACTCTGTTTTGAAAAAAAAATTTGAATCTAGTGAATTGTCATACATGGATCAAAAAAAAAAAATCGAGCCTCTAATAACTGAGGTATCTGTAATTGAGGACAGGGATTGCCTGGGGATTGAACTCAGGGTCTTGGCTTGTGCCAGGCAAGTACTCTGCCACTGAGGTATCCTGATTGAGTTCATCCTGATTTGTTTTTTGAGACAGTTTTACTGTGTAGCTCAGGGTTGCCTGGAACATATTATATGAAGCAGGCTGGCCTTGACCTCCTGATCTTTCTGCCTCTGACTCCCAAGTGATGAGATTAGATTAGATTAGATTAGAGGCATTCTCTATGATGCTTTACAACTTTTTTATTTGTTTCTGTTACAGTGCTGGGGCTAGAATCTAGAGCCATACATGTCAAGTGTGATCTCTGTACACTGAGCCACGTCATGCTCCCGTTCTAAATGTAGTACAGGACACTAAAGGGTGACCAGAACCAAAATTTTTCCCACCCAAACCAGAAGTTACCCTGCAAATCTATTCTCAGTGGAAACTTTAAGCTTATTATTTGGGCTTTGTGATGTACTATATGCATTTGCATTTGAGGACGTCTTCCTTTCCAAGTAATCAAGTGTTGTTTGTCATATCTGTCTTTCTGAGTCCAGGAAAATGGATATAGCAAGTCCCCCAACTTCCAAATGCATCACATACTGGAAAAGGAAAGTGAAATCTGAGTATATGCGGCTTCGGCAGCTCAAACGGCTCCAGGCAAATATGGGAGCGAAGGTAAAGATGGCTCCCCAGAGCACGGTTGTCTCTGTGCAGCTCTCCCATGTACAGTCCTGGGGTTTTCCTTTTGTGACTTGCATTGACTCTTGCCTTGACTTTCCTAGGCTCTGTATGTAGCAAATTTTGCAAAGGTTCAAGAAAAAACCCAAATCCTCAATGAAGAATGGAAGAAACTTCGTGTCCAGCCTGTTCAGCCAATGAAGCCTGTGAGTGGGCACCCTTTTCTGAAAAAGGTACTTTGGGGTGTTGAGCCAGCATTCCTTTCTCCTTGGACATGAAGTTATAAATCTAGCTTGAAAATTGACCATGTAAGCCGGGCGGTGGTGGCGCACGCCTTTAATCCCAGCACTTGGGAGGCAGAGGCAGGCAGATTTCTGAGTTCGAGAGTTCGAGGCTAGCCTGGTTTACAGAGTGAGTTCCAGGACAGCCAGGGCTACACAGAGAAACCCTGTCTTGAAAAACCAAAAAAAAAGAAAAGAAAAGAAAAGAAAATTGATCATGTTGTCTGTTGTCCTCCTCGGTTAATGAGTGTAATTGTGACTTTTCATAGAAAAACAAAACATTTACTGTTTTTCTGGGTCTTATGTCTAAGGTGTCCTATTTTGTGCTGGATAAACTTAGATACTGGGAAACGAATTAGTTATGCTAATCAGAGACTTCCCTACTATAAATAAATATGTTTGTTTATTGTTAAGTTGAATTATAAGGGTTTTTTTTCAAGACAGGATTTCTCTGTGTAAGCCTGGCTGTCCTGGAACTCACTCTGTAGACCAGGCTGGTCTTGAACTCAGATATCCACCTGCCTCTGCCTCCCAAGTGCTGGGATTAAAGACATGTGTCACCACTGCCCAGCCGAATTATAATTTTTAGAGCACATTCTAGCTGGGTATAGTGGTACATGCCTTTAATCAGTTCAATTCAAGAGGTAGAGGCAAGAGGAATAAGGAGTTTGAGGTTAGCCTTGGCTACAGAATAAATCAGGTTAACCTAGCTACTTTAGAGCCTGTGTTTAAAAGGGAAAAAAAAAGGCATTCTAGCTTTAAAGAGGTAATACATTTAATTTTTTATTGCATGTCTTTACTCAGATTGTGCATGCATGCTTGATCCTTCCACATGTGGGTCCCAGCAGCTGAACTCAGGCCATCCATTTGGTGGCCAGCATTTTTACCTAATGAGCCATTTTAACAGCCTGGTAATAGTTTTAAAATACAAAATACTGATAGTGTATTAAGACCAATGATCATTCCCAAAGCAGAATATAACTGATTTGTACACCACCTGCCTTCCCCATGTGCAGTCCCCACTACCTCTGTAGCTCTATCCACAGTTTAAGTTTTTTAGAAAACAGTCCTGATCTCAAGTCCCAGGATTCTGAGATCCTCTAGGAGACCCACACTCTGGCAGAAACAAACATCTAGTTGGGTATGGCAAGCATTGCACCAAACTCTGAGAAGACACAGACGTGAGTTAGACAGTCCTTGCTTTCCACAGCTAGTCAGGTTAGAGGTTCCCTTTAGAAGCTGCTGTTAACATTTGCCCGACTCAATAGTTTAGAAGAATTTGGAGAAGGTTGCTTGTCCAGAGGACCTGAGTTCAGTTCCCAGAACCCACTTGGTGACCATAGAGTGTTTCTTATAGTTTTGTTTTTATTCATTTTGCTTTGTAGCCTAGCCTAGCCTGGCCTGAGATTTACTGTGTACTGCCTCAGCCCCTGAGTGTTGGTGTTGTAGGAATGATGCCGTTGTAGCTGACCTATAGCTGATCCTCTCTTGAATCGTGTGCTCATACTCTGTGTGTATCACTGCTTTTCTTCCAGTGTACCATAGAGAGCATCTTCCCAGGGTTTGACAGCCAGGACATGCTGATGAGGTCTCTGAACACTGTTGCATTGGTTCCTATCATGTATTCCTGGTCCCCTCTCCAGCAGAACTTCATGGTATGTGTTAAACACTGATGCAATTGTTTAAACTGTATTGTCATTTTATGCTATCTGTGTGAGTAAAGACTGTCAAAGCATGCCACAAACTTGGACCTAGAGAGTGCAAGGTTCTTTAAATCCCTCCTTCTTAAATGGTGTGCATTACAGACTTCTGAGAAGCTCAGTGGATACAGGCACCTGCCACCAATCTGCCCAACAACCTGAGTTCTGTCTCCAGGACCTGTGTGGTAGGAGTAAAGAACTGACTCTTGGAAGTTGTCCTTTGGGCTCCACATATATGTCACACACGTACACACACGCACGCACACTGCAGGTTGCTCTATCCTGTTAGATTTTGGTGCTCTCTAAAATATTGCTAGTTTTTTTTTTTTTTATTTTTTTTTATTACTCCCAATTTTCTTATTACTTTGACCCAACTTTATAATATATTAGTCACAGTTAAATATGGCTGAATCAGACCCTTTAGGCTTAAGCAGGTTGCCATCTCTGCTGATGGAGCAAGTCTTTTGGAATCCTCTAATGGCAAGGTCCTCTGAAGGTAGCCGAGAGAATAGAGGTACCTGTGGGTAACAGTGCCTTCATCTAGTCCTTTATTGAGGCCTGCTAAGGTGATTGCTCTGGTCATCTGTCCTCTAATGCTGTTGCTCATCACCTGCCCACTGAGAGCAGTGTTCCTGATTGGACTAAGACACGGCTCTGCAGGAGGGAGTCATCCCTCAGAGTAAAACTGTGATTTTACTTGATCCTTGGGGATTGAAGAATGACTAGGTTGGCACTGGAGGGTAGCTTAGTGATAGAGTATGTGCTTAGCCTTGCTGTACGTCTGTGTTCTCTGCTGAACACCCTTCTCCTTTAGTATTATTTATTGCCCAAAATAACCTGTGTTAATATGAGTTATGACCATGCTTTGCTTCTTCATTATGGGGAAGAGGATATTTCTAGAAAACTTAAAATTTTATGGTAACTTTAGTCAAATTTTACGCTTGGACACCATTGCTAATGTCAAGGTAAACATTTAGTGGTTACTATTGACTAAACTTGTTTTTTCCCCTTAAAAGTACTGTTGCCCCCTTTCATTTAAGGTTTGTTGGCAAAACAGAATGGATAGTCCTTAAAAGGTGTAAAGGAAAGTTTGTGTCCATAGAGATTTTTTTCAGTAGACTCAGGCCAAATGAAAGACCAGCACAGCAAATGTTCCATTGGATAGGAAAGAGGAGAGACAGGATGGCTCATGGGGTAAATCCATCTGGCTTTTACAGGTGGAGGATGAGACAGTTTTGTGCAATATTCCCTACATGGGTGACGAAGTGAAGGAAGAAGATGAGACTTTCATCGAGGAGCTGATCAATAACTATGATGGCAAAGTCCACGGGGAAGAAGGTAGTGACCCTGGGCTAGCTCACTGCAAGAGGGCTTCGCTAGCACACTGCTGCTTTTGTTCTGTCCCATCCCTACGGTGCATGCTAAAGAATATTTCATGTGATGATGTGACTTAGGATTAGAATTTTATATTACAAAAGAAGCTGGGACACAAGAATTGCCTGGTAATCAGTGGCTAGGAAAGTGTTTATTGAACAGGTGAATTTAATCTTTGACATTTTCTGTAAATACATCAGAGGCCATTTTTGATTTTCATTTCTCTTTCTCAGAGAACATATTACTTTGATCCAGGTTTCTTCTGGACTTCTTAGAAACTGGCTTAAATATTCCTATTGTATAAAAGCAAAGCATTTGAACTGAGTTGTAATTTTTTTTTAATTCTTTTTAGAATTATTCTTCTTTCTTCTTCTCCTGAGAATTCTTCTTCTTTCTTCTATGTGTATGATTGTTTTACCTGCACAGATGTCTGTGCACCATGTGTCTGCAGTGCCCAAGGAGGTCAAAGGAGGGCGGTGGATCTCTTTGGGCCTCAAGTTCCAGAAGGTTGTGAGCAGCCCTCTGGGTGCTGGGACTGGGTGGGATGGGTTGGTCCTCTTAACCTCTGAATGGTTTCTCCAGCCCCCCTATTGTAATTTAAAACAAAAAACATTTATTTGAGGGAATGCAGTCCATATATGCCACAGTATGGGGATGGAAGTCAGAGAGTTAATTCTCTTCTTCCACCATGAGTGTGCAAAGAATTGAACTCAGGTCACCAAGTTTGGCAGCAAGTGCCTTTACCCAATGAGCCATATTGCCAGGTCTTAGTTTTAATTCTAGAAAAGGTTATCAATGAATAAAAAGTAGGAAGAGGTGATAGGTGTGGCGGCACACACTTTTAGGCAGAGACAAGAGAATCTCTGAGTTTGTGGACAGCTAGGGTTACACAGGGAAACCTTATCTTGAAGAATTTTTTTAAAAAGATTTATTTATTGCATGTATGTGATTATGCTGTCTCTGTCTTCAGACACACCGTAAAAGTGCACTTGATCCCATTACAGATGGTTATGAGCCATCATGTGGTTGCTGGGAATTGAACTCAGGACCTGTGGGAGCGACTCTTAGCCCCTGAGCCATTTCCAGCTCTATCTTGAAGAATTAAAAAAAAAAAAAAGTAGGAAGGGGACCTGGGCATGGTGGTGTACCCTTATAGTACCAGGAACTCTGGAGGCCAGGGCAGGGGGATTCAAAGGTTGTTTAAGGCCAAAGAGGAAGTTCAATGCCAGACTAGGCAATCTAGTGAGACCTTGTCTCAAATATGAAAGAGGACTAGTGATATAGCTCAATGAGAGAGTGCAAGCCTCGCCTGTCCACAGTCCTGAGCTCAGTGGGCAGAAGAGGGACTCCCCATGCATATGCCAGCCAATAGCCCTGCCTACCCCACACGGTTGCTAACATTCAAAAATACATCTACAGCACCCTCTAGTGTTCAAAGGCATTATTTCAAGTTGCAGTATAACCAAATGAACTATTTTAATGTTGATTAAGAGAACTCACTATTGAGATGTTAGCACAAAGCCGAGTGGTTTTTCACTTGATCGTTATTTTTCTGTCTTGCTTGTGGTTGTTGGCATACCTTTGTTGTTTCTGTTTGATGTTGGAGAGAGAGTTTGCGTGAGCCCTGGCTGTCTTAGAGCTCACATTGTAGACCAGGCTCCCCTGTCTTTTTTGTTGTTGTGTGTGTGGGGGGGTGGGGGGGATTGAGACAGGGTTTCTCTGTGTAGGCCTGGCTGTCCTGGAACTCACTCTGTAGACCAGGCTGGCTTCAAACTCAGAAATCCACCTGCCTCTGCCTCCCAAGTGCTGGGATTAAAGGCGTGCACCACCACTGCCCAGCTCGCCTGTCTTTCAAATGCTGGGATTAAAGGTTTGTGTCACCATGCTGGGCTTGCTGTTGAGATTTTTGAACAGCAAATCCAGTGTTAATAGTGACCACAGAAATGGAATATTCTAATAAGGATAAAGTCTATAGCTTGTTAACTGTTAACAGTTGTTATAGTTAATCAAATGATGTGTTATGCCCTTTACTCAGGGGTGAGTGTAAAAAGCCTACCTTGTCTTTTTTTTTTCTTTTTTTGAGACTGGTTTCACTATATAGCTTTGATTGTCCCAGAACTCACTATATAGACTAGCCTCAAACTCAGAGATCCGCCTGCCTCTGCCTCCCAAGTGCTGGGATTAAAGGTGTGTGCCACCACATCTGGTAAGACACTGTGTTTTTTAAAAAAATGTCCATTAGTGTTTTGTATGTGTGTATGTATATGTATGTGTGTGTGTGTGTGTGTGTGTGTGTGTGTGTGTGTGTATGTATGTATGTATGTATGTTTGGGTAAGAGTATTGGGTCCCCTGGAACTGGAGTTACAGATAGTTGTGAGCTGTTATGTTGTAGTGGCCTGAGCTGCCCCACGTTCGGGGGTCACCCTATATCTGCCTGAGCTGCTGCTTCAATTTGTGGCTCAGGGTCTAGCAAGAGAGAGAGTGGGGACAGAGGGACAAGAGACTCGAAGAATGGAGACGAGACAGAGTCTGTTCTATTCTCTCTTCAAGTCTCTCCTTAAATCTCTCCTTTTGTCTCACCTTTATTGAAAGGAAATCATGGGTATATATAAACACAAGCAGGGGAACACAACTGAAGACACTTTACCACGTGCACCCTGCAGCTGGGGGCAATAAACGACAAAACAAGATATGTAAGAAAAGCAAGATAATTATCAGAGTGTGCTCAGATGTTGTAGGCTTTTGAAAACAAGTCTCTTGTCAGAGTATATGGCTCAAGATGGCTGCAAAGATGATAGCTTCTTTCTGCTCAGAGGCGGCTCCCAACATTATGTGAGTGCTGGGAATTGAACATAGGTCCTCTGGAAGAGCTGTCAGTGATCTTAACCACTGGGCTATCTCTCCAGTTTCAAGACCTTGTTTTAAGGGGCTGGGGGACCCTACGTACAAAGATGAGTGGAGGGTGAGACCACCACTGCTCACTTTCCTACTCCTTGTGTCTAGAGATGATCCCTGGATCTGTGCTGATCAGTGATGCTGTGTTTCTGGAGTTGGTCGATGCCCTCAATCAGTACTCAGATGAGGAGGACGATGGGCACAATGACACCTCCGATGGAAAGCAAGATGACAGCAAAGAGGACCTGCCGGTAACAAGAAAGCGGAAACGCCTTGCTATGGAAGGTGCATAACCCTGCTTCCGCGGACTGTTTTGAAATTGACAAGGACAGGGAAGAAGGGAAAACTTGAGCAGTGTATTATTCTTTCAAAAACATGTTTCTCAGTGGTCTACTTAAAAGAAAAACATGCTCATTAACTGATAGCTTCAGCTGACTGAACTAGCTGAAGACTAGAGTAGAAAAACTTCTAGAATAATCACTGCTATTAGTTTCTAATTCTGTGTTTGGAAAATCTGGGAAGATTTATAAAGGAGAAAATAAGATTACACTTCAATCTTGCTACATAGGAATAATCTGATTATTTCTTGTAGATTTTAAATTGTACATATATAAATCAGCATGCTCATACAAAATTGAGATCATGTGGGTGTGTGGTACAAACTTTTATCTTCTTAATTTAATTTTATAAATATTTTCCAAGTCACTAGTATTTAATTCAATATTACAGGGCTGAGGCGATTGCTCGGTGGTTAAAGTCTTGCTCTACAAGCATGAGGGCAGGAGTCCAGGTACCCAGCACCCATGAAGATGCAGGATGGGTGTTGTAGCCTGTCTGTAATTACAGCTTTAGAAGGTGCAGAACAGGGATCCCCAAGACAAGATGACTGGCGAGACTAGTCATGTTGGCAAACTCAGCCAGTGAATAAGGTGGAAGAGGAGTGGAGGAAGATGATTCTAGACATCAACCTCAGGACCTCACACATGTGGGCATGCATGCCCACATGTGCCACATACATGACAAGCACATAAGAATGGGCAAAGAAGGAACTGCTGAATTTCCAAATTGTACATTAATTGTATGTCCAGAAACAGTGTCTCTCTTCCTGTAAAAGAGTCCCAGGGTCCGTCCTGTTCTTCAGCACCAGTGTTAATGGTGGGATCGTCTGTCTTAACTTCCAAGAGACTCTTGTCCTCCTCTTGATGGTTCTCACAGGGCCCGCAGACTTTGCTCCCACTGTAGCTGAGGTCTGATGAGCACAGCAGCTCCTGTCACTCTGCTGCAGCCAACACTCAGGAGTTCACTGTCATTTCCCATTCAGGCAACAAAAAGAGTTCCAAGAAGCAGTTTCCAAATGACATGATCTTCAGTGCCATTGCTTCCATGTTCCCTGAGAATGGTGTCCCAGATGACATGAAGGAGAGGTAGGAAAAGCCACTCCACCCAGGCTGCACCCAGGGCTTGTGAACAGATTCTTATCCTAGCCCATTTTTTGATTAATAAAAAGCCCTGTTGTGTGTCATGATTTGCCCACAGTTCTGACATTCTTGCCTAGTTACGGCTGAATGTCCCTTGTCATATTAGAGTTTATTCTCTATACTGCTTTGATGACATCTGGGCAGAAAACTTGCTTTATCCTTCTGGGTAGTTATACCAGCACTGAACTTACCAAGCCATCTTCTCCTTACTTGATACTATGGCCAGCCCTGCAGAATTACGATGGCATGTCCACTTAGTTGCTTACCATCTCCTGACCCACCAGGCCTATGAGAACCACCCATCCTCCCTTGGCACGCCATGCCTGGGTGGCAGTTCCTGTGGCTACAGTGGAGTTTCCTCAAGAGGAATTTTCTCTTTTCTTGCAGGTATCGAGAGCTGACAGAGATGTCAGACCCCAACGCACTTCCCCCTCAGTGCACCCCCAACATCGACGGCCCCAATGCTAAGTCAGTGCAGCGGGAGCAGTCTCTGCACTCCTTCCACACCCTTTTCTGCCGGCGCTGTTTTAAATACGACTGCTTCCTTCACCGTGAGTGGGGCTGCTCTGTGCCCAACTCCTTCCCTGTGTTTTGCTTTACTGTGTGGAGTTTCCAGTTCCTGCTCCTGTGAGGGCTTTGCAATGGGCCAGTTCTGTTTTATTTGCTCAGTGATATTGTGATGTGGTTTACATGATAGGTACAACCTAATTAAGCACTGTGGTTGTCCCTTGGGGCCTCCTGTCTTTGAAAGGATTGTATAGATACCAGAACTAAATTTTCTATACCCTGCAGGTTGCCTTTTCTGTGGAATGTGACACCTGCCATAGCTCCCTAACTAGTTTTCCTGTCCCTCTTATGTCCAGAGGATAAAGCCTGGGAAACACCACAACCTCTTGTTTTCCAGCTTTCCATGCCACCCCTAATGTATACAAACGCAAGAACAAGGAGATCAAGATCGAGCCGGAACCGTGCGGCACAGACTGCTTCCTTTTGCTGGTAGGTTCCTAAGCTGTTCTGGCTTTGTTAACTCTGTTTAAAGTTGAGCAGGAAGTGGTCCTTGAAATGAGTCAGCCCACAGCACTGCAGAGGCTCTCCAGACATGGAGAATGGATTTAGTCTTTCTTTTGGGGTGATGGGGTAAGATTCAATGAACAGTAGTAAAGGATTTTCTGCTCTAAATCTCATCGACTTAAACTTCAGATTCTGAGACGGCTGTTCCGTTTAGAGCAAAGAGGGTGCCTGTGTGCTGGCGCTAGAGTATGTGGGTGTGGCCCCCACACCATCAGAGAAGATATTAGAGCAAAGTGTGTGTGTGTGGATATGTATGTCTTATATATACTGTCTTCTACACAAAAGCCAATAATTTGAAGATAAGAAAGAGTTGGTGGGGAGATTGTTTTTACTCAACAGCTGGCTGGCATCCTGAGGATACTGGTGGTGGTGGTGGGGTACCTTTAAGATCCCATCTCAATGGGTGTGATGGCTCATGCCTTTAATTCCAGCACTCAGGAGACAGGCATGTGGATTTCTGAGTTAGAGGCCAGCCTGGTCTATGGAGTGAGTTCCAGGACTGCCAGGACTACACAGAGAAACCTTGTCTTGAGAAATCTAGGAAAAAAAAAAAAATCTCAAGAGAACTCAGGAACATAAAGGGCTTCTAGGGAGGAACAGAAGGCACGGGCAGGATGGCTGTCTGCCAGTGAGGATCTTCGTCCTTCAGGCAGGGTTCTCCTTTTGTTCTCTGACTCGAACATCTCAGTGGTCCTCAGCCTCCTCTGTAAACCATACAGTTAGTTACTTAGGGAGATATATCACTTCTAACCTTCAGAGTAACCTTCACCGTGGTCTCTGAGCCGACCCACAGTACTGGACAGTAAGGAGTTCCTATGTCCTCATTATCTGGTACTCTGTATTCTGTACGTGATTAGTTAGCTCTTAATATCTTAGTCATCTGATGCCCGGCTCATTCGGATTTAGAATTGGGCAAAGGAAGATGATGTAACTGTAGGGGGCAAAGACAAAGGGAAGTACAAGGAACTGCCCAGGACAACTGCTAAGGGGCCATCATTCATTTTTCTGCCAGCATTTCATTCATTCTGGCTACTCAGTGCTAAATCGGAGAAAAGATGGCGGATTGGGGAATAGAAGGCTTTGACGTGGTCAAGTTTGTGATCCTTTGCTGAAGGGGTGGTCAGAACCTCATTGCTGTGTGTACAATACTGAAGATGGGCTTATTATTGTCAATATTAGGAGTGTTTGTTCTCATTTTAAAATGATGTCAAGGATAAGTCTAATTCTAGATGGTATCTGAGAAATGAACATAAAAGCCTTGTTGTTTTCTTTTATAACTGACTGTCCAAGGGCCAGCATTCTGAGAAGATAGAGATGGGGTTTCCGCCCGAGAGCCTCATCTCAGGACACTCAGAAGCACAGAGGCTGGTACTGGTGGGGAGCAGGAGCAGGAGATTGGGGGTGGGGTGCGCTGGTGCTGTGTGTGCTGAGTGGGATCTTGGTTGTCTGGGGCATGTGTCCTTTTCTCACTGACTGGCACATATCAGTGGAGCTTGATCTTCTGAGGCTGGTTTCTGTAGTTCTGTGGGCAGACAATTTTAATCATTTATTTTGAGCATTAGGTAAGGTGTGTCATAGCATATGTATAGAGGTCAGAGGACAACTTTTAGGAGTTGGTGGTTTTTCTCCTTCTGTGTGAGTCCTGGGAATCAAACTCAGGTCAGCCACAAGCACTTTTACCCACTGAGTCATCTGCCCAGACATACTGCTGTTAGACCCCAGTAATCTGTGTGGTTTGTGTGAGGTGATGCATAAAGCTGAAGGGTAATGCAGAATTTTATACATACTGATGTTATCTGAAGGCCATCAGATGTTCTTGGGTTCTATCAGTCTACAGCATAGATTATTTATTGCTTAAGATGTGACTTGTCTTTAGACTTCAGATGCTAGGCAGAGGAAAGGGAGGTAACTTTGGAAAGGGGTGGGGTAAAGTTCTTGTCCAGAGCAACTCCACAGGAGGGGCATTATTCAGCTATATATGTAATATCTTTTGCTCAGGCTGTGACAGCTCCCTGAGGTGGAAGATGTTAGGAGTTATAAAGGGCACATTTTGCAGAGTTTATTAATAAGTCAGTGCTTATAGCACTGTTCAGATTCGGGCCCTGATCTAAGTCTATAGTCCATGCTTTTAAAATTATTCCAGACCTTTCTCCCAACAGAAAGTCAACATTTAGCACCTCATTGACTCAAAAGGTCATCACTCTTTTCAGGGCCATCACTCTGAAAATCCTGTGTGTGTGTTTGTTCAACTTCAGATACCCATATGCACACATTTAAATGTGCTGGGCTATCTTCCCCCATTTTTATTTTTCTTTACGGACAGTGTCTTTAATCATAATAAGATGTCTGCTCTTCCCCCAAAAGCAAGCCTTCAGAATGGTAACCAGTAACTCAGTTGTTCTTATAAAAAGCTTCAGAAGAAGGCAAAAGACTGAAGAAAAACCAATGTTTATAGTTTCTTTAACTTATTTTCTATTTATAGTTCTGACAATTGAGTTTACAGCCACATGCATGCTAGGCAGGTGCTCTAACACTGAGCTAGTCTCAGAGGACTGACTTTTATATAAGAACCTTTGTTTTCAGAGCCTGAAATATAGTTCAGGCTCAAGATCTTGGTTCAGCCTCTCAGATACTGGGATTAATGTGTGCACCACCACCTGTCTGCGTCAGCTCTTTGTACATTTTTTTTAATGTACAAAGAAATGAAAGAGGCCTTCCTGCACTTGAAATATTTTCCCATCTTTATCCAGATATTCGTGGGGAGTTTGGTGCTGGGGATTAAAGCCAAGGTGTCATGCTTGCTAGATGCATCCCTTCCAGTGAGCCACATCCTGACTATCCACTTAGAGCTTGTTTTCAAATCACATTATCTAGTCAGAGACCATATTTGACTGTAAGATACTTTACTGTTTTACTTCAAACAATTCCATCATTCATTTCTTCTTGTTTGTTTGTTTGTTTGTTTGTTTTGAGACAAGGTCTCACTCTGCCTAGGAACTTATTCTGAAAAGTATACTGGCCTCAAACTCCCATAAGTCTGCCTGCCTCCGGCTCCCCAGTGCTGATGTCCAGCCCTCATTTCCTCCTTTTGGTAGTCCAGTCTTGTGAGATGATCCAAATTCTGGCTGTAGTTGTTTTCTCAGAGCATCACTGGCCTGTTCTTTGACCTAGGATTCTCAGAAGCAGCTCTGTGATTGGGTTTTATTTATGATAAAAGCAGTAGTTTGAGCTTGGATATATCTCCGTGCAAGAGTAATTGTCTACGTATACAAAGCCTTGATTCATTTTCCAGCACTGAAAAAAAGAGGAAGAGAGGCTGAGTATAATTCTCTGCACCTGGGAGATAAAGACAGGCAGATCTCTGAGTTTTAGGCTAGCCTGAGCAAATTCTAGGACAGCCAAGGCTACACAGAAAAAAACCCTATGTTGAAAAGCAAACCCGCTGGGCAGTGGTGGCACGCCTTTAATCCCAGCACTTGGGAGGCAGAGGCAGGTGGATTTCTGAGGCCAGCCTGGTCTACAGAGTGAGTTCCAGGACAGCCAGGGCTATACAGAGAAACCCTGTCTCGAAAAACCAAAAAAAAAAACCAAAAAACAAAAAAACAAAAAACAAAAAAAAAAACAAAAACGAAAAGCAAACCCCCCAGAAAAGAGGAAGAAAGTACACAGCATATAAACCACCAGTGCTGTGTGTTTGAGTGGAGGACGTGTGGTATCAGAGCCAATTAATTTCAAACAGTAGACTATTTTTGAGAAACAGGTAGACGTCTGTGGGAAGCAGTTGTGACCCAGCTGAGTTATAGTTTCTGCGTTCTTCTGTGTCTCATGGGATTTTAGGGAGAAGCTTCTTCTTTTTTTTTTTTTTTGATTGTTATTTATTTATTATATGTAAGTACACTGTAGCTGTCTTCAGACACCCCACAAGAGGGCATCAGATATCACTGCAGATGGTTGTGAGCCACCATGTGGTTGCTGGGAATTAAACACAGGACCTCTGGAAGAGCAGTCAGTGCTCTTAACCCCTGAGCCATCTCACCAGCCCTAGGGAGAAGCTTCTGAGTTAAACAGTGATTATGTTCTAATTCAAAGATTGCACATGTGTTAACTAAAACGGAAGCTTTGTGGTCGTGTGAACAAAGTGGCCTAGGGAAAGGAGCCCTGACTCCTGAATCCACTCTGGAACATGGAGCTACATTCCCTGAAGCAGGTTCCATCTTCTCTGACCCTTGGTTCATACGCAGGGAAAGTTCTCAAATCCCAGATGGCTAACACGTGAGAGAATTTCAGATACTTCTCAAAGCTGAAGATGTACAGATTATATCTTTTAAGCTTGTGGGGCGCTTTTTCTGTGAAAGAGGATGTTTCCATATTTTTGGGAATGCTTAATCACTGACATAATATGGTCACACTTACATGGTACAGACAAAAAGTATCATTGTAGAAAGCTTTATGACGGTGGCATCAACTTGGAGTCCCTGTGCCTATTCCTATTTCTTACCTGTAATGTGTTCACCACAGGAAGGAGCAAAGGAGTATGCCATGCTGCATAACCCTCGGTCCAAGTGCTCTGGGCGCCGCCGCCGAAGGCACCCAGTGGTCAGTGCTTCCTGTTCCAATACGTCAAACTCTGCTATAGCTGAGACTAAAGAAGGAGACAGTGATAGAGACACTGGCAATGACTGGGCCTCCAGTTCTTCAGGTAAACAGAAAATGTCCAGCTCCTGATCTCTTTAATATTCAAAACTTTTAAAAACTGTTAATTGCACACACACACACACACGCACACACTCTGGAACTATGTAGGCCAAGCTAACCTTAAACTTGTCCTGTTCCTGCCAACTCTGTTTGGATTACAGGAGTGTGCCCATGTACAGCTAACATTTCCATTCCTAAATGTTCTCCTTTTCAAATCAGAATGACATAGGAGCTACCAACAAACTGCATTCCACATGTTTGTGCTTTCTCCCTTGCTCAGAGGCTAACTCTCGCTGTCAGACCCCCACGAAACAGAAAGCTAGTCCAGCCCCACCTCAGCTCTGTGTTGTGGAAGCCCCCTCAGAGCCTGTGGAATGGACTGGAGCTGAAGAATCTCTTTTCCGAGTCTTCCATGGCACCTACTTCAACAACTTCTGCTCAATAGCCAGGCTTCTGGGGACAAAGACATGCAAACAGGTACTTCCTGAGAGCAACAGGGTGAATGTGGGTTTTTTCCTTACTGTTCATCTCCTCCACTGTCTTAGCAGGCTGGTTCTAGACAGAAACTGTCTTGTGAACCTCTCCTAGATCATGGAGAGGCCTTGATGGGGCCCCCCCCCCCCCCCCGGGGTCTGTCTGTGATTTTTTTTTTTCTTTGAGATAGGTCTGGCTGGTGTAGAGTAGAACTCACTATGTAGACTAGGTTGACATTGAACTCACAGAGATCCACCTGCTTCTGCTTCCCCAGTGCTGACATTAAAGGTGTGTGTGCCACCATGCCTAGCCCTTCTTCACATGCTGTATTCCAAGTTTCCTATCACTACGTTTTCTAATTGCTACTCCAGTACCTGGGTACCTGAAAATCCAGATGGACAACACCCACTGATGGTCCAGAGGCGGGAAAAGACTGCAGGCTGATAGATGGCTCTGCGGGTTCGATCCACAGGATCCACTCATTAGGGGAGAACCAACTGTTAAAGTAGCTCTCAGCCTCCACACTTACACTACCATACCCACACCTACACAAACATACACATGCATACACAATGAATAAATGAAATGCAATAAAATTCTTCTAAAGAAATGGCAGGGAGAAGAGGGTGCAGAACAGAGATGAGAGCCAGGTGCCTGGGCCAGTTTGCCCAGCAAGAAGGGAGCCCAATGCCGACACCCGGATCCCACAGCTCCCTGACTTCTGCAGGCTTGCATGGTTTCTTCCTAGGACCACATTGTAAGCATTACTAAGCCAGGTACTTCTGTAGGCGTTGGGAGCCTGTTTCATGCTCTGTCATGTGGGCTGCTGAGGAGAATGATGAGTGGAAGGGATTTACACTTTCATTTCAGAGTCCATATGTTTTTCCTTGTAACACAGATTCTTTTTTAAATTTTATTATTTTTATTACTGTGTGTGTCTGTGTGTGGTGTGTAAGTGTGCATATGCCATAGCATTTCTATGTAGGACAGATAATAGCTCTTGGTATTGGTCCTTTCCTTAAGCTGTAGGACTGAACGCAGGCCATCAGAGTTGCCTGGCCAGCGCTTTCTCCTGCTCAGCCGTCACATTGCCAGCCCACAGCACAGGTCCCTTAACCTAACCGTCTATAAAGTTAGATGTGCTTTTTTAAAAAAGGCAACTGGGCATGGTGGTGCACGCTTTTAATCCCAGCACTTGGGAGGCAGAGACAGGCAGTTCTCTGAGTTCCAGGCCAACCTAAGTCTATAGAGCTAGTTCTAGGATAGCCAGAGGACTATACAGGAAAACCCCATTTTGAAAACCAAACCAAGAGTTAAATACGTAAATAAAATATTTTTCTGATACTATTTATAGTTTTTGCAGGATATCAGAAGTAGCCTACTAGAGAATAAAGAAAAAGAGAGAGGGGACACTAGAAATGAATGCTCTAAAGGAAGGAGCATGTGGAAGAGGAGCCAGCTCTCCCTAACTGCTGCCCTGCTGGACAGCCAAGGCTCTGGTACCTTTCTACCAACAGAGGGAGCTAGTGCTTAGCCCAGTGACACCCTTCCCATCAGGCCTCACTCAGCCCCTGCAGAGCTACTCAGGCAGCTCACTGTGGCTTGGGAAGTGGTAGAGGAAAGCCAGGGTGATGGATGGCAGTGCCTGCTTCGTAGCTCTGCCTCCCGGGTCTAAGTAAATCTTCAGTGCCAGTGACCCCCAACCCCAGCCACATCCTGTCTCTACTAAAAAGATGCCCTGTTAGCAGCTAGCAAATTCCAGATTCTTAACAAGCCCAGCACCTGGCCCAGTCGCTTGCCTGGTCATCTCCAGAGATGTGACAAGTCCTATTCATTTCTCTTCCAGGTCTTTCAGTTTGCAGTCAAAGAATCACTTATCCTGAAGCTGCCAACAGATGAGCTCATGAACCCTGCACAGAAGAAGAAAAGAAAACACAGGCAAGGGTTAGACAAAGGACCCTGAAGGCTCCTCAGGTTATCTGTGCTCTGACCTCGTTGGGTTGACCCTTGCCTCCCCTTGGCCACTCACTGCACTGGGCAGAGCCTCTTACTGGGACACTCAGATAGAGCTGGTATCCTCAGGACTCCCTCAGGACCTGTGTGAGTAGGGCCAGCCCTTCCCTGTGCCCACACTGAGGACATGGCTGGCCTATGGCTCTGCACTGAGCTTATTTCCCCTTCCTCAGGTTTTGACCATCTTCCCCATTCTGCAGAGTGTGTTCCTGTCCTTTAACAATAGTGTTTTTCAGAGTTACATAGTGCTGTTATTGGTTGGAAGTTGAAAAAAAATAATAGTTGGGTCTGATCCTATTCTTTTAATCCCAGAGCTCAGGCAGATGGGCTTCTGTTTGTTCGAGGTTAGCCTAGTCTACATAGTGTCAGGCCAGGCAGAGCTATATGATGAGACCCTGTCTAAGAGATAAAAATCATCACTCTGATGACCAGGTGCCCTAGTGTATTACCAGACAAATAAAGGAGGTGGCTCTAGCTCTAGCTACGAAGGAAGTCTCTTATGCTCTTCTCTGTCAGCCTCTTCACTGGAGGCTTTCCATCTGCCATCTTAGAGTTCTGCGGGGCAAGGGAAGAAGTGTGAAGAGGGAGCAGTGGTAGTATGAGGCAGCTCTGTGACTTTGCTTTGTCTGGGTTTTTGTTATTTTGGTGTTTTGGGAGGAGGAGCCCCCTGTTAACCCAGTTACCTTACAGTTTTCAAGCTGCCCCTCGGAGCAGGACACTATCATGCGTGTTGAGAGGACCACAACTCAGACCTATCTTTCTTTTTCCCCTAGGTTGTGGGCCGCACACTGCAGGAAAATCCAGCTAAAGAAAGGTAAGTTCAGTGGAAGAAAGAGAAAGGTGGGGGATAGATCAGAATGGAGTGCATGCTTAGCATGTTCAGGGCCATGGGCTCCATCGTAGGCACCTTGCTCCTAGGAACACACACACACAGAGTTCAGATTAAGGCCTCACCCTGTGGTTATCACCCTGCTGCACCTGTAGCTCTCTTGTTGGCCCTAGCTGCTTCTACAGATTGCAGATTTCTTTGCAGCATCTCTAGGGCTGAGCCAATGACTACAGCCGAGATGCCATCTCAGAAGATAAACGTAAAGCCTTGTGGTCTCTGAGTTTCCTAATGTGCTGTTTGCCAGTTCCAGACCTCTTTTCATGTTTCGAGTAGCTGCCTTGTTATCTCAGGCCATCTCTACACCCTGCCCACAAAGCAGATACTCTGTTGTTTATGCACGGGGGGTCAGCTACATTATCAAGTGCTGAGTGTGTCCAGGGTCACGGTTGGGAAAAGCCAACTTCGACTTGAGGCGTTGGAACATTTGGGGGATAAGACATCAGTGTAGCCTGGTCGAAACAATGTCCTGCTCTGTTCTCTCTTTTAGATAACAATTCTACACAAGTGTATAACTACCAACCCTGTGACCACCCGGACCGTCCCTGTGACAGCACATGCCCCTGCATCATGACCCAGAACTTTTGTGAAAAGTTCTGTCAGTGCAGCCCAGACTGTAAGAACACCCTGCTTTCACCATCGTCTACCAAAGTGGTTGGCCTGGGAGTGCCCAGGCTCTTTTCTTCTGCCCCTTAGCTGCCTGCAGACTTGTCATAGCCCTTCAGGGAAGGAAGGGGTGAGCCCCCAAGTTGTGGGGGTTGGTCTGTTCTATTTTCTTATTTTTAATTTTAAAACTTTATTATTTTATGTATATGAGTGTTTTCCTTGCATGTATGTCTGTACTGTGGGGAATGCCTGTTGTTCAAGGAGGTCAGAAGAGAGAATAAGATCCCCTGGTACTGGAGTTAGACAGTTGTGAGACATCATGTGGGTGCTGGGAATCAATCTCAGGTCCTCTGGAAGAGCAGCCATTGCTCCTAGCTGCTGAACCATCTCTCCAACCCCTGTTCTACCCCAACTCTTAAACTCACAAAGTCTGAAAAGAACCCTAAACACTGGGTGGTGGTGGTACACATCTTTAGCCCCAGCACTCCAGAGGCAGAGGTAGGTGGCCCTCCCAAGTTTGAGGTCAGCCTGGTTTACAGAGTGAGTTTGAATTCCAGGACAACCAGAGCAACTGCGCAGGAAAACCCTGTCTCAAAACGCCCCCCACCACCAAAAGAAGTCTTTTCTCTCCTGCCCATCTCCTGCCTTCTTCTCTCTCCCTACCCACTCTGTATTTTCAAGCAATTTTCCTTTCTTCATCTCATAGGTAGCTGAGATTACAGATATGTGCCATCTTTCCTAGCTATGAACGTCATTTTTTAAGCCTTCAGGTGGAGATTCTGGAAGCAGGAACTAGACAGGATGCGTCTCCATCTTCGTAGGAAAGCTGAGAAGCAGGAGCTTTTGCACTCAGGGTCTCCTCTTCAGGATGATGGTTTTTAAAGTGTAGGGCCAGAGAGATGGCTCAGTGGTTAAAAACAATTTCTGCCCTTCTGGCAGACCTGAGTTTGGTTCCCAGCACCCATATCAGGCAATTTACAACCACCTGTGATTCTGACACCAGGAGATCTGATACCTTCTGTCCTTGGACATCCATGCACACTTGACATACACATACACATAAATAAAAATAAAAGCGAACAAAAAAGTTATGTGAGTTGAGTGTGGTAGTGTGTAACTGTAATTAGGTCTGGAACTCCACTGTGAGAGTCTGAGGCAGGAGGATCAGGGTTCAAGGCCAACCTGTGCTACTAAGGGAACTTTTCTTAACACCTACCACCTCCAGATTTGTTTAGGTAGAGACAGGAGCACCTACCTATAACCAACCCTTGCATTGGGAGAATGAACCCAGGTTAAAACCTGCCTCAAAAGAGAGAACAGGAGAGGGGAAAGAGGAGAAGAAAAAAGAGGGCTGTGAGGCTGTTCTCCAGGAAAAAGCAATAAAATGAACTAGCCAGGAAGCCTTGGTTAGATCCTGGAACCACGCGAGGAAAAGGAAAGAATGGATTCCTGTGCTGGCCTCTCACTTCCACATCTATACACGCACTAAGTCTGTAATTAAAGGGAAAAGTTTAAAGAAAAAGAATACATGCACAGACCTCTGGACTGACCTTGACCTCCTGCTCTCCAGCCCCTACCTCCCAGCTGCTGGGATTACAAGTGTGTACCGTCACACTGGACCCGTGCGGGTTCTTATGTCTGTAATAACTGCAGATTGACTGTTGGACTAGCTGTTGAATCTATGACCTGTGCTTGCTAGCCTTTGTCTATATACTCACCCCGGCTGAAGTAGCGCCTCCCCCCCATCCCCAGCATATATTAAGTGAGCAGGATAAAGAACATTGGTTTCAATATTTTCATATTAGCTGGAGTTTATTTTGTTGTTGTATTTTGTTTGTTTTGAGACAGGATCTTACTGGATGGCCTCAGACTCACAGAGATCTATATACCTGTCCTGCTTCCTAAGTGGTAGGATTAAAGGTGTGCACCACCATACTTAGCTGAGGAGTTTTAATATCTTGTAGGAGGGGCTAGGGTGGGTAAAAGTGCACACTGTTCTTATGGAACCCTAGATTGGTTCGTAGCATCCACACAGGCAGCTTACCAGAAAGTGTGACTTTAGCTCTGAGGATCTAATGCTGCCGTTTGGCTTCCAAGGGCTTTTGCACGCAGGTGCACATGCTCACCCAAAGATATAGAAAATTAAAATTAAGAATAAGTGTGTAGGGAGCTAAAGAGAGACAGCTCAAGTGGTTAAAAGCAGAGAGCCCGAGTTCTGTGTCCAGCACCCTCATAACCAACTATAACTCCACTCATGGAATCTGCTGCCTTCTGGCCTCTGTGGCTAATCATGCATGTGTTTCACATAGATACATGGATATACACATACATCAAATAAAAAATACATACATACATACATACATACATAGGTAAGAACATCTCTGGTAGGAGACAGGGTAGGTAGTGTCAGCAGAAAAATAGTTCTCCACTTCTTACCCACCTCACCTTTGCTCATTTCTCCTGCTTGTGGCCGAGCAGTAGATGGCAGCCTCTGGGTTTGCAGAGGGCAGTGCCTAGGCCTCTGTGCTGTGATTGTCACCTGACAAGGAACAGATAGTGATCTCAGCCACAGCAGATAAGAGCTAGTGCTGTTGAGGGCTGTGGGCAGCGGAGGACAGCCTAGAGCGGATGCGTTTGTTTCAGAAGATGATGCTTGTTTTGATGAGGAGGATTTACTGTGAAAAGCACTGATTTAATTTTCTTTAGGGTGATTGCCACCTTAATTCCAAATTCTGTCAACAAGGATAAGAGGGGGACCCTGTAGGAAATCTCCAGGTGGCACTTAATAGTCACACCTGCCATTTAGTCCGTTGGGAATTAGTTCTCTGTGTGTGTGTGTGTGTGTGTATCTGTATCTGTGTATCTGTGTAAGCATACATGTACAATGTGTATGCATGTGTAGACAGAGGTCAACCTTGGATGTCATTTGTGAGGAACCACCTACCTTGTTTTTCCTAGATGAGATCTCTCACTACAACTAAGGGCTTGCTCATTAGCTAGGTTGTCTGGCCAGTGAGCTCCAGGAATCCATCTGTCTGCACCTTCCTTGCACTGGGTTCTAAGCATAAGTGTTTCCATGCCTGACTTTTGTATGTGGGTTCTGTGGATCACATTCAATTTTTCATGTTGACATGGTGAGTACTTTACTGACTGAGCCATGTCCTGAGACCTGAAGGAGGCACTTCCTTGTCTAAGGGACAAGGCAGATGTTCGGGGGAAGGAACCTTCTGCCTGTTGTGCCAAGAGTCCTCAGACATGTTGCATTCACTTCTCTTCTGTCCCTGACCGAGTCTGACCTGCATCAGTGCAGGACGATTCCTAACCATCCCCATCTCCCCATCTCCCCACTCAGGCCAGAATCGTTTTCCTGGTTGTCGCTGTAAGACTCAGTGCAATACCAAGCAATGTCCATGCTATTTGGCAGTTCGTGAGTGTGACCCTGACTTGTGCCTCACCTGTGGGGCCTCAGAGCACTGGGACTGTAAGGTGGTGTCTTGCAAAAACTGCAGCATCCAGCGTGGCCTCAAAAAGGTGAGGTCTTTTCTTGGGTCAAGATCACAGTGGGAAAGAGGAAATATTCCCAGGTGTCATTGTTCCTTTGGCTCCTCAGAGGGGTTATATATAAAAGTGGTTGACATATTTTGTCAGTGGTCAAATTAATCTAATTTTCCATTATACCAAAAGGAACAGAGGGGTATGTACCATTCTGTTCCCCTGTGGTGTTGTGTTGAAGTCCAAGTCTCCACACATGGGAGGCCAGCACTTTACCTCCGGCCTCACAGCCCCACTGGTGCCTTCTACTGCCTACATTATGGCCCCAGAAGTCCCCAAGGAAGAGGAAGAAAGTATCCTATTTCCTTTACCATTTCCAGTTTTTGTTCTCACCCCCTCAAGAGCGAATGGTTTAGACCCTTTCTGTTTTCAGGTTCCCCTGACAGTTGGTAGTTCTTTCCACCTGCCCCCGGCACACACGTGCACATGAAGCACTCACACCCACTCACACCCGCCTGCCGTCTAAGGCTTGCCTCCCTCTCCCCCAGCACCTGCTGCTGGCCCCTTCCGATGTGGCCGGATGGGGCACCTTCATCAAGGAGTCTGTGCAGAAGAATGAATTCATTTCTGAATATTGTGGTGAGGTGAGTGTTCCAGGTTCAGCCCATGTTCTTACTGGGAAGGTACTGACAAGAAACTCTCTGACTTTCTGTGGGTTAGGCTTCTGTGAATTAATCTCTAAATAACTCAGCCCAGTTTTCATGTGGCCTCTCAGGGGATCCCACAGAACTGTTTGCAATCCTGAAACAAACCACTGTTTGTCAAGTGTTGGTGTCTGGCTCTCTCTTGCCTTCACCCTGGGCAGCTTTGGGTAGAGATGGAGCCAGCAGAGTCTTGCTCTCCTGTACTGACCCTTCCCAGTTCAGACAGTGTCATACCTTAAGCAGGCATGACATCCTCTTCTTCCTTGTTTACTCCTCCAGCTCATCTCTCAGGATGAGGCTGATCGACGAGGGAAGGTCTATGATAAATATATGTCCAGCTTCCTCTTCAACCTCAACAATGGTATGGCATGGCCTTCTCTACCAAGGGCAAGTCTTTACACTAAGCAACCTTTGCTGTGATCCAGGTTCAAATCAGCACTGAGTCTTTAAACAAATTCTTTAAACAGTGTTAAGCTGAGCTTGAAAGCCTTGTAGGCTCCGCTTCATTTCTGAGTTGGGTTTGGAATGGGAACAGTGGGCACTTCCACTTGAGAAGCTACCCTAACCAGTAGGTGGGAGGAGATCCAAAATTCAGAGGGCGGACCCACAGGGGATGTTCCCACATGAGGAGGCTATGCTCTGCCCATCTCCTGTTACTATTCTGGGCTTCATGTTCCCATTAGACTAAATTGTTTCTGTTACCTCTTAACTGATCCTAAACTAGATCTAAGGAAGTGGGGGCGGGGGTTGAAGCTAGGTACATTTCTCATGCCTATAATCCCAGCATTTGATAGGCTAGAACCATAAATTCAAGGGTAGCCTGAGCTACAGGAGTTCCTGTCTTCGACAAACTAAAATGGGCATAGTAGTACAGACCTGTAACTCTAGCACTAGGGAGGCTAAGGCATGGGGGATTACAGTTTACAGTAAGTTCTAGGCTGTCCTGTGCCACAGAGCTAGACCTTATACCACCTGTAGTTTCCTGGGACACTCATGATTTTCTTTGATTTATGTCATGTAGATTTTGTAGTGGATGCTACCCGGAAAGGAAACAAAATTCGCTTTGCAAACCATTCAGTGAACCCCAACTGTTATGCCAAAGGTGAGTGAGTCTTCAGGAGCCTAGGAAGTGGGTGGGCTGAATGAACTCGAGTCCTGTGATTTTTCTCCCTCATTGAATTTCTTTCATGACTGAGTTACCATTTTTTCCAAGGAGACTCTTGATGCCTGTCTGCCATCATTTTAGGCCTCTCCTTTCATACGCCTTTCTCACTGACAACATTAAAACTCTGTTCCCACAACCGTGATTTAGAGGTCACCATTTCCCCAAACTCACTGCCGCAATAGCAAAGCCAAAAGAAAGATAAGCACCTGCTGTCGTGACTGCATTCTATTTCCATTTGATCCTATTGGGAATTTGGAGAAAATCAGCCCAGAATTCTGAGTGCTGGCTTGCAGTGTGGAGTAACTAGGAAGGCTTTGAAGCCAGCCTAGGCGTGCCCTCTCCTCTCCACAGTGGTCATGGTGAACGGAGACCACCGCATTGGGATCTTTGCCAAGAGAGCGATTCAGGCTGGTGAAGAGCTCTTCTTTGATTATAGGTGAGGTGGTTGGGAAGGAGGCAGGAGTAACTGTCGGGAATTGCTTTGGGGCTTACAGCAGCTACAGTGGGTGGAGGAGAGGGTCTTTAATTACCATTGCTTGCCTCAGAACTAGGAACATTACAAATGGCTGCTGGAAATTGGGTGGAAGGGAAACAGGAGGGGACCCCATCTTGTCAATCACAGAGTAACCTGGTTCCTCCTCCCTGCCCTGGGATAGGTACAGCCAAGCTGATGCCCTCAAGTATGTGGGCATTGAGAGGGAAACGGACGTCTTCTAGCCCTCTGGGCCCCGTGCCAGTGCTGTGGTGGCAGCACTGTCATGGCTTCAGGCATACACCACTGCTGCTCCAGCTCCTGCAATGTCTTCCATGCTGAGAAACCCCACCCACTCCTGCATAACTAGGCCTCCACTCTATTCCAAGGGGACACACTGCCTCAGTGAGAGGGGAAACAGAGGCGGTGAAGACCTGCTCTCCCAGGAGAGTTCAGATGTGAGAAGCTGCACTTCCATGTCAGAGGAGGAGGTTGTGGGCTTGGGATGATATCAGTGCTTGATTTTTCCTCAGCTCCCAAGCTGTGGGCCCTCAGGAATCTACAGTGCTACCATTTTAGCTTTCTCAATCAAGAGTTCTTCTGTCAATGGCTGTCAGGCATTGCTAAGTGAAACCAGGTCCCTGGAGCCTACAGGTGCTCAAGGTTAAAGGTGAGCCTGGCAGGCATTGCAGACAGAACTCAGAGGGAGATGTGTCTCCATGACATCAAAGCAGAATTTAAGGATACAGGAGGGAAAGCTAAGTTTCCCCATCCTCTGGACATAGGGAGAGCCAGCTAGACCCTGGGAAAAGACTTATAGATTATGGTGGTAGTAGGGCATTCTCAGGCTCCCAGGAATGTGTGCCAGTGACCAGACTCCTTCCAAAGTTCTGGTTCAGTGGCAGCATGCCTACAGTGGCTGAGCGTGGGCTAAGCCTGGTTGGGAGTGAGTATTCTGGGTCAGTGAAGCCACAGGTGTCCTCAGGCCCTCCTTCCTCAGGCTTATCTGTGGAGCAGCTTCGCTTCTTTCTTCAGGGTAGCTGGCTCTTAATCTAGACTAGAGGGAGATGTTACTGGTCTGGTTTACCCCATCTGTAGTACCTGCTGTTGGTTGTGTTTACAGGTGGGTGAGGGGTGCTGTTGCTTGTTTAGGAGGGTGTCACAGTGCAGGGCAGACTGGCAAGCAGACCATCCTCCCTGGGATTCATAGAGAACAAAGCACTTTAACTCTCTTTTAGAAGGTTTGTAGATTGGAGTGGAGTTTGAGCCAAGGCCTCTGCCTGAATCCCACTTCTGGAGGAAGAGGAGAGTGGAAGATTCTTCAGTTCTATCTCATCTGAGAGGCAGGAGGAGCTGGCTTGACACAAGAACAAAAACTAGTCAGCATAGCTGCCTGGGGTCTGGTGTGCTGAGAACCAGGGGCATGTTCTGGAAAGGGCTTGGGCAGTGACAGCTGCCCTAGGTAGTGGTAGAATTGGGGCAGGCTTCTTGCTTCCAGGAGACCCAGAGCTCCTGTGGTCCTTGCTAACCATTCCCTTCTCCCACCAAAGAAACCAGGCTCCCTTCCACCACACCGCCTCTTAGAGCCTTGCATGGGACATATGTGCTTGTGCACATACACATTCCTTCACTACACTGGTAGGTCCATGTGTTCCTCACACTCAGTACACACCCCACAGCTCCTGCCAGTAGCCTCTCCCCACACACCAATTGGGCCAGTCCCTACCACAGTTCTGAAATTGACATCTGCCAGTGGTTTGTGTCTGTTGTATGTATCAGGGATACCCTCAAGCCTAATTGTAGGCGCTGAATTACTTACTCTGGGAAACCAGAGACAGGTGGAGGAGCGACTGGTCATGAGAATGCTTTAAAATGTGTTGGCTCCAAACTGACCGCGGCCTTCCCTCCGCAAGCATCACTGGCAGCCCCTCCTTCCGCAGTTCAGGCCAATAATACTTACGCTCCTCCAGCCGCTCATTCTTGGTTCCTACTGTCCTCTATTTTTAATGACGGGTTTCACCCCTCCTCTCCACTTCTGCCCCACATCATGTAAAATGATAAAGTGAGGTGCTGTGGACTGGTGGGGAACTGGCATACATGTGGCTTTATTGCCAGTGAATTTCTTGCACTTTAAAGTCCTGTGGCTTGTGACCTCGTATCTAATAAAGTGTTAGAGTCCATTTTGGCAAGTTGTGTCCTGCGTGCTTGGGCTGGAAGCATACGAGGTGGTGGCATGGGAACAACTTGGGTAGAAGCTTCAGCATTGACCCACACTGTCCTCTGGAAACAGGCGTGGGAGGTGGGGTGACCAGGTGAAGCCCCTGGCAGGTGCATAGGTTTTGGTTTTTGGGGACAAGGTTTCTCTGTACAGTCCTGGCTGCCCTGGAACTTGCTCTGTATGTAGACCATGGTTGAACTCAGAGATTCGATTGTCTCTGCCTCCTGAATGCTGGGATTAAAGGTGTGTGCCACCACTGCCTGGCTTATAAGCATAGGTTTTGAGGACTAGAAATTTCCAAGCTCTCAGAGTAGTTCCCTTAAGAAGACTCCATTCATTTCTTGGCCATGACTCAGCTACCACACACAGACTGGGCTCTGCCACTCTGCTTTATTGAACCTGCTCAGGAGGGCACAGCGGGCTCTGCCCTGCTCTAGAGTGGAGGCCAGCACATGGGTGAGTGGCTGGCAGGACTCATGAGACATCAAACACAGGATCCCGCCACAAACTGGGCACAGCACAGGACAGCCCACTGAATTCTTTTATATATAAACAGATAATTAAAAAATTAGAGTAATATATAGTTCTCTAGAGAGAGACTCTGCAACAAAAGATATATATAAAGAATATGACCTCCTGGGCAAACACAGCAGCATTTCTGAGCAGACAGGGAGGGCGCCTCATGCACTGGAGGGGGCCAGGCCTGCACACAGGCACCAAGGCTATTGCATATGTTGGACAGGGGTACAAGAGTAGAAGGCTGGCTAGGCAGGGTGTCTGCATATTTTTTTTCTACTTGCAGGGTTTTTATGGCTTTGGCTAAAGCATGTGAAGCAGTGGAGGTACTAAAGTGCTAAACCGAGGCCTCTTGGTCTCTAAGAACAAAAAGGGTTGGGTGAGCTAGGGGTGGGGATGACGAAGTTCTTCCCTCAGCCCCAGCTGAGAGGAAGCAGATGGAAGACAGCCGGTCAGCAGGGCAGGGGGAGGCTCCAGGGTATGTTGTAGTAGCCTCCTCCCTCCTTGCCCTGTGCAGCCCCTCTGTCTCCCACATCTGTCCCTGCTGATAATGTCCACAGGAAGGGAGGCAGTTCATCTCCCCTGCCCTTCGTTGTTAATCCTTGCCAGCAGCTGGGACAGAGATGGCAGGAAAGGCCTGTCTCAGATCCATGAGCTTTCTCCTGTAGGGCAGGCAAACAGCCAGGAACTGGGGATGGGTGGGGGTGGGGATGAGCAGGGCATTGGTTTAGGCAGTGAGGCTCGGCCACTCCCTTTGGTCCCATCTGTAGCTCTGCGCACCAAACTTGGCAAGAGGGGAATCTCCTGGTGAACAGAGCCTGCTAAGAAGAGCCAAATGTCCCTGGCAGGGGAGGGGAGAGGCAGGAGCTATGGGGACTTAGAGGAGTTGGCCTTGGTCCCTGAAGCCCTTGTGACTCATTCAGACCTGGACTCCTCCAAGATCTGAGGGAGGTTCTGGTCTCTGGGGCCTGGGCCAGAGGCTGGGGCTGGGGTCGGAACCTGGGTGGGAGCTGGAGTAGGGGCAGGGGCCTGGGCAGGGCCTGAGGGAGGTAGGGGAGCTTTGCTGCCAGGATGAGAATCCTGGGCGGCCTTGGGCTCATTGGTGTGATAGGAGCCCTTGTATCGATGGTTTTGCAGATAGAACAGCACCAGCATTCCCACAAGCCCCAGCAGCAGGAAGGCCACCAAAACTGAATGGAAGAAAAGGAACAACTTAGGGACGGTCTTTGGGGTACACACAAACACACTTGGCCAAAGCATCATGTACACCTGTGTATAGCAGACATAACTATGTCAGGTCGTCAAGCCATGGCTCTGTCTAGAATGTCAAGTCTTGGTTTATCCACTGCCCACTTTACTCTTTCCATATCTCTGATGGCTTCTCTAATTTCTTAATTTCTCTAGATGTTACTACATCTCTATTTTTCCTCATCCTGTAACTAGGGCTGCATTTAATATTTCATTTCAATTAAAAATTTATAGCTGCCTAGTCCTCCCCCAGCTATATACTGATGTAGGCATAGTCTGTCTCACCCTTCTTGCCATCTCACAGCTAACAACTCCACCCACCCTGCATCTGAGGGCAGGAACCAGGGATTATGCTGGCAAGGTAATCTTAGGAAATCAGGTTTGAGGTCAGTGCTACTTACAACCTAAGAGTATGGCAATCCATCCGTCGTCATGGTAGTATGGGAAATCTAAAGAGGAGGAAAGGCTGATTAACAGACACTGCCTCTGTATTCAGAGCCATTTCCCATCACTGTCACCCCCCCACCCCACCCCCGTCTTCACCTGTACCTAGGGATTTACCTGGGGGCAGGTACCAGGGATCAAGCTCTGGTGGCACCTCAGAGAAAAGGCGTGGCATAGCTCCACAGTTAGATTCTGACAGTTCTCCTTGCACCCGCATGGCCTCTGCCAGCTCGGCAGTCATGGGGCGAGGGGTTCGGAAATGGGTCTTGAGAGGAGCCACATTGTTGAAGCGGACACCAGACAGGCAGCCTGAGAAACCTGGGGTGTTGTACCGCTGAATCTCTGGGTCGATGACTCCTGTCTCTGAGGGAGAGGAGGCCGAGAATGAGGCATCCGAGTCCACCCAGAAGCCTTGCCCCTCTTCTGTTCCCTCTCACTACCCGAGCTGCTCTTTCTGCTTCCCCCTCTCGCTGGCCGCTCTCCCCAGATCTGCCCTCACAAGCAGCTTACCCATCACACGCCCTAGATACAAGGCCTTGGGTGAGTCCAGCTGGCTGTCCACCAGGAGAGAGAACTTCTGTTCTGTCAGAGGGAAGTAGTCCACCTGGGGTAGGAGAAGTGCGGGAGGGAGGAAAACCCTGGATGGACACAGCCAAGACCATGAGGGAATTCACTCTGCCTAAACTAGCCTTGCTCAAAATGAACAAACTCCTGGGCCCAGAGATAGGATTTGACACATGAGACTCAGTCTGGTATTGACCCCTGGCTTTGCAGTTTGCTAATAGTTTGACTTTTATTTCTGGATTTTTTTTGGGGGGGGGGCGGGAGGGGAAGGGTCTGTCTACATAGCCCTGGCTGTCGTGGAATTCACTGTGTAGACCAGGCTGGCCTTAGGTTCAGAGATCCATGTCCACCTCTGCCTCCCAAGTGTGGGGATTAAAGGCCTGAGCTGCTGTACCCAGCTACACTTTCTTTCTTACGGGGAGTAACACAGTTTGTCTGGAGTTCGGTAACAACATGGCAGTAGTTCCTCCCTTGTCCCAGTGTGGATCTCAGGATCAGACTCTGGCTATCAGGCTTCCCCCACCCAGCATCTCGCCAGCACCACCATCCCCTTTCTTGTAGCTCAGGCTGGCCTCAGACTTGCTTTGTAGCCAAGGATGATCTTTAACTTCTGAGTCTCCTGCCCCATCCTCCCCTATGTTGAGGTGACAGGCCCAGGCTATGCAGTGCTGGGGATGGAACCCAGGGCTCCATGCCTAGTAGACAAGCACTCTGTCAACTACGCTATATCAATATCCCCTACTAGTGTAAGGAAAACATTTTATCTTCAGCCTGTTGACTAGATTGTAAAGTGAAGCTCAGAATAATTTCTAGCCACACCTACTTCACAGAGCTGATGTGAGGGTCATGAGAGGTGGCACATGTGGAAAATCCCTTGTATACTGAACCGTGTTTCAGACATGTAATCATTTTCTTGGTGCCATAGCCAGGATCATGAGGCTATGACTTAACTGGCCCATCCCCTCCTCTTGTACCTGGATAAAGAGGTTTCGGTAGACCCGGGTGATGTTGACACTATGGGGTTGGCCATCGGTCACCGGCCGGGTGGTTAGCTGGTACACGTAGGGACTGGTGCCCAACTGATAGCGAAGCTGTAGGGTCCCTGTAGGGTGGGAGGAGGAACATGGGCTCTTCTCTCAGCTTCCACGCCTCATCTTCTAAAGGACTGGGTCCTTGCGTTAGTTAATCTCTATGGGAATTTGGGCACCTGGAAGGAGAGCGCCATGGAGGACTTACCATCTTCCTTGATGAGCACAGCCATGTAGTCACGTACAAAGGAGCTGACATAGAGCAGGACTGCAGGAGCAGAGCTGGTGCTGAAGCTGAAGGAGACCTCCTCTCCAGTAATATTGTAGACAGGCCCCCGGTACCCAGGCACTGGCCGGCCAGGCCTCGGGTAGTCGGGTAGACGGTACCCAGGGCCATGGTATCCAGGCACATAACCAGGAGTATCATAGCCCGGAATATAGCCAGGCTCATAACCTGGCACTGGCCGGCTCAGCATGTGAGAGAACTCCCGGGCTGCAGAACGCAGTGCTGACTGGAGGTTATAGCGCATCCATGTGCCAGTCTCAAAGAATCCACCAATATCTGAAGTAGAGATAACAAGGTGACGGCTCCAGACTTCTCAGTCACAAGTTCAAAGAGTTTTTATGTCACCAACCCATGCTCACACCTGTATCTGCCGTGATTTGCTTCTCCCACCCCTTCAATTTTGGGGACACTGTCTTTGTAGCTCAAATTTACAGTCCTGTGGCTCAGCCAGCCTGTCAAGTGCTTGGATTACAGGCTCACACCACCCCATCTAGCACTTAATAGAAGAATAATGATACAAGAAACTTGGAAAGTCATCTGGTCTCGTCCCTGCACTTACAGGTGAGGAAATTGAACCCTAAAGATGAGTAGTGACTTCCCCCAAGGATGAGGTTTATGTGGATGGCCAAGATTAGAATTGAGATACCCTGACTCTGTCCAATTATGTGTTGTTACTCATACTTCCTGAATCTCCCTAAACTACCAGACTCCACCCACAGTAACCCGCCTGCCCCATAGATTACCTTGGGCCAGCCTTAAGAAAATATAGTCTGGATATGTTGAATTTCAAGCTTCACCTCAACCAACAGTCAGCTTGTAGACATGTTTTGGGAATTCAGTGACAAGTCAGACAGGACATGGCCAGGGGAGAAATGTATTGTGAAG